TTTTAAAAAAAAAAAAAAAAAAAAAAAAAAAAAAAAAAAAAAAAAAAAAAAAAAAAAAAGACTGAGAGACATCCAAGAAATACTGAGTTTTTTTAAAAAGGACACTGCAGCCCAGCCTGACAGTGTGATTCCATTTACACAAGAGCCAACAGTCATAGGCAGGCCCGGAAGGCAGAGGACAAGCAAAGAGGTGGCTTCAGGGTGAGCAGCCCGGGCTCCACCTAATGGCACAACAAGCTCACTTATAGGTGCTTGTCCTGGGATAAGTAACAGGTATTCAGTCTGAACCTTGGCTTCCTCTTCTTTAAAGTAGGACTAGGAAATGCACAGAAACACATCAAATACGTTTAAGTCCATGCATTCACACAATGCTAAAAAAAAAAGAAAAAAAAAAAAAGAGAAAAGGACCTAATTGGTCCCCTTGTGAAGAGGACATGAAAGCAACTCAACACTATGATGCCATAACCAAGGGAGAAACCAAGCATCTATCCTGCATCCCCACAGGAGATAAACACTGTTGAGACCCTCTCCTTTGCGACCCCTAAGGAATGAATAAATGAACGAACGAACCTGGAATGCTGACCTCACACAGAACGCGGTAGAGGACATGTGGGACCAGACCATGAGCATGCAGCTGGCAAGACCCACCCGCGACCTGGGGCCGTCAGCACAGGCAGTAAGGACTAAGATTGGAGGGGAGCCTGGAGATGAAGAAACACTACGAGATGCATCAGAAAACAGAACTGGGGCCGGACCCGTGGCGCACTCGGGAGAGTACAGCGCTGGGAGCGCAGCGGCGCTTCTGCCACGGGTTCGGATCCTATATAGGACTGGCCGGTGCGCTCACTGGCTGAGCGCGGTGCGGGCGACACCAAACCAAGGGTTGCGATCCCCTTACCGGTCACGAAAAAGACAAAAAAAAAAGAAAACAGAACTGAAGAGCAGGGTGAGACTGAACTGTGCGTGTGCTTCGCGATGTCCACCTGGGTGGCCACCCTGTAATCAGTGCAGCAGGTGATCACTCCCAAAGTCAAGATGTTCTCGAGGCCGGTGGTGTGGGGTCTGGGATGGTAGGAGGAGGGACTCCTGGGGACTGGCGAAGGTCTGTTTGTGAGCTGGGTGGTGGGTACACAGGAGTCTGACGCCTAATAATGCTTCATTAAGCCACTCACCTGTCACATGGTTTCCTGGATCTGAGTATCATTTTACATTAGAAAAATGTTTTGAGGCTGGCTGGTTAGCTCACCAGCCAGGTACAGCGTGGTGTTGGTAACACCAAGGTCAAGGGTTCGATCCCAGTACTGGCCAGCCGCCAAAAAAAGAAAAGTTTTGGCCGGCCCGGTGGCGCACTGGATAGTGCGCCGCTTGGGAAGCGCGGCAGCGCTCCCGCCCGAGGGTTCGGATCCCACGTACAGACCGGTTCCCGCTCACTGGCTGAGCGAGGCGTGGGAGCAACACCGAGGGTTGCGATCCCGTTGCCGGTCCCCGGTCCGGTAGGGGGGCAACACTGAGGGT